TCTCAGTTTGATAGGGACTGGGGAAAAATGAGATAACATGACAATGTTTATGCAGAAAATATGAGTTGATTTCTGTTAAAAATAAAAAGCAAATAAAACATTATAGCATGACTTTATTTTTTTGTGAGACATTTGCTGTAGGAATGTGAAAAATACATAGATGTTGCAGACTTTGGTACATAGCACCCATCCTCAGTTGCCTGTAGTAGCTGCTCTAGACCTCAGACAGTTCAGAAGCCATGAGAACCTGCTGAAAAACTGGTCATGACACAACCCATAACACAAAAAAGAAAATAAAAACTTACCTTTAGCTTTTATTTGTGCTTAAGCTTTGATACGACACAGGTGGAGAGAATCTAATGAGAACATTAGACTTTGATACAGCAACTTAAAAATGTTCTTAACCTTTAGTAGCATTTTGTCCTTATTTTCTCACAGAAATATTATTACCATTTGATTTCCTCATTCTGTTCTAAGATACTTTCTATCATTTACCCCCAGACTATGTCTATGCCATGAGAGACAAACTTCCCTTTGATATATTAGTTGACATATTAGTTTATTTGTCTACATACTCAAGGTTTTTTGCCTCCAGGAATCTTCAAAAATTTTACCTAACTAAAGAGTATTCACTGAAATAATTTATAGCCACTGTGTGCTTTTGATCTGTATGAATACTTTCCACAGATTTTACTGATGTTTCAGGCATAGAGTGTTAAATTGGACTGTAACAATAAATGCATCCCCTTTCATTACTGCTTGACTACACAATGGACAAAAAAAACCCTTATAATTCTTAAAAGTTTGAACTTTTTTTCTGACTAGCAGCTTTTCTTCTCCCCAACTTTCCCGATCAATACAAATTTTTCACTCTGATTTTTTACTTCTGATTCATTCAGTCTTCAATAGCTTTAAATAGAAATGATAAAACTTGCAATAAAATATTTTAATTTATTTTAGTATTATTAGGAACTATTGGGATTGTCTGGCTTGTTGTTTCCTGGCCCTGTCTTTACTCTGCTTAGAAGAAATACTGGAAAGGTTTTTGGCAGCATCTGACTAGCATATACAGCTCTTTCTGCATTTATTTTTGTTCGTTTGTGTTCTTCAATTTCAGTGCATGAGTTTTTGCTTCTCTTGATTGTCAGAGTTTTAACATTTACACATCAATAATTTTATACTCCATAATGTCTCAGATATGTAAGTAAAGTTAAAATGCATCTTTTAAGAAACAGGTTGTAAATTACTTTTGATAGTCTGCTTGGGGACACCTAAATAACATTGTTCATACACAGGTTGTATAGAGGGCAAATGACTGAAACAGCCTGACATTCATCTAAGGTCACCATATTCTTGTTATTTATGCACACCAATTATACATAAAATTAAAGTTTGAACCAGAGTAGCTGTTGATTCTAGGTTCTTTTTCTTCAACTGTGAAAGGATTTAGGAGCTCAAATAAGTCCCTTGGGTATCTTTCATTCTTCTAATGGGACATGTGACCAATTTTCCATTGATTCCCCCTGACTCTTCTGACCCATAAACATTATAAATCTGTTAGAAATCTCAGGCCCAGTTTGCCACTAAGGCAGGCCTAGAATTCAGTAAAATTACCATCTTCTATTATATAAATCTTTAGGAGAATATGAAACAACTGCCAAAAAAAATTTTATTTCCATCCAGTGAGAGGAAATAGCTTTTTCCTCAGGACTGTATGACAAGGCTGGAGATTCAACTAAAGATTGGCAGGATCTGAGAGACAGGTCTGTAATGTTGTAACCTCTGTCTGCCTATTACACAGTGGTTCTCACCAGATTGTTCAGAGTGGCCCAAATTTCATTTCCTTCCCACGTGCTTGTTAGCAGCTGTTTGCAAATGCAGGTTTGTATGTAACATTAAGTCTCTGAAATACAAACACACACACACACACACACACACATATATATATGTACATACATATATATACACTTTATAAATAACAAAACAAAGAAGCAAAAAGGATGTATTTTAAATGAATGCATGAACCTACAACTGGATACATCCATTAGGATAGAGAACCTTCCATATGCTTTGACATTGTCTCCATTTGCTCCATGAACAGCATTATTCAGCTTCTTAATAATTTGCATCATAGTTAGGATATGTCTATTTTTTTGCCTTTTATAAATACTGAAGGTAAATATTTCCTAGCATACAGATACAACTGCTGTAATTACATTGAGCTATGTATAATGTACATTTGTTTGTTTGTGTTTTTTAAATTTTTTTATTTAGGGGCAAGTTTTTGCACTTATTTCTCTTAAGTCAACACACAAGTGCTGTTCTGAGAATTTAGATATGAGATACTAAATTATTCTGAGCAATGTGATCTAGTGGAAGATGTCCCTGCTTATGGCAGGGGTATTGGAACTAGACACCCTTTAAAATTCCCCTCCAACCCAAACTATTCTATGATTCACTACTAAGCTCTTCAATAGAAGAGCTCATCTTTCTAATGTTA